GGGCGGGGTCGCGGTGGCGGGAGTGCGGTGCGGGGGCGATGCGGGGGCGGGGTTGCGGGGCCGGTGGCGGGCCTGCGGGGTTAGGCGGCGGGGTACCCGGGGCTGGGCGGCGGCGGGGGTCGTCCGGTGGTGGCGGGGCTGGATGGCCCCCGCGGCGGGGGTTCGGGGGCCGCAGCCTCACACCGGCTTTGCCCCCGGGGATCCCCGCTCGACAACGCTGGTCATAACAACGCGCACGCATACTTAACGAAATTTTCTCACCGATCTTGCCCCGGCCTCAATGGCCGAGGAATTCGTTTCGAGTGTCACGCTCAAGCGTGTACACCCTTTCTATTCCAGACTGGCTCCGTGATGGGCTGTCACTGTGTCGAAAGCAAAAACATGGCCAAATACCCTTGTAAGGGTATTTGGTCTGACACTGCGGCCTTTGCTAGCAGAGGGGAAGGCGAAGTCGGGGGACGACAATATGTCACGTCCCCGAAAAAGTATAGGGTCAGCACTACAACTCTCACGGTGCTGGCCTTGCCTTTGCCAACTTCGTCGGTGCAGGAGTGAAGGGACAAACCGACTGGTAAGGAGTGAAGCAAGCCACTATGTAGTGCACACCCACGATTCCGAAAGCGGAAGTAAGGCATATGTCGTAGTCCGGATTTGGGCGCACTTCATTCCACGCCATACGCACAAGGGGTGACCGCAGAGTCCGTCGAATCGAGGAATCGAGGATTTGGGCGCACTTCCTGTGTCGATGCGTAATGCGGTTGGTATCTGTGTGCCTGCTGTGGATTAAAGTCGCCAAAATCCGGACTTCGGCGATTACTGGCCTTCAACGTCTATAGCTTGTTGTGGTTTTCCTTTATCAACGGGCGGGGTGTCAAGCTCGAATGTGCTCGTCCTTTTGTTGCGCAGACGCACACATGCTACTCGGTGCCCAATGCATTGCAAAATCAAAGTTCAATAATTGGAGAGGTCCTGCGTCTTGTAGGTTGTGTCATTCTTTTAC